CGGGGGTTCCTGCCCCTCTGGGGAACACAACCGCCAGCCAGCCTGACAGGTGGCTTGTACATGGAGGCTGCCACCACTGTGGCCCGAGCTGCCTTCCCACAGCCAGCCACATGGCTTTGAGGGCAAGCGATGTGGGACGTGGTGTGGTGTTGCTCATCATGTGCAGGGTGCACACATGCCACATGGCCAGCTGGCCAGGGAAGACGGGGTGAGCTTGCATGCAGCCAGCTGCATGGCTCCGGCAGCAGTGGCAAGGGATGGTGGCTGTGGGGGGCAGGTGGGGGGGCTCGCACGTGGCAGTCTCCACCGCTGTTACTTGCCCGTGGAGCCACACCAGTGTTGGTGACCGCTGCATGCAAAACCTTCCTGCGCTGCTGCTGCCACTGTGGAGCCATGTCCATGGAGCTATGTGGCTGGCCACAGGGCAGCAGTGGCAGTGGGGTGGTGGAGCTGGCCACTGCGTGCAAGCCCCCCCGATATGCAGCCATAGCTCTTTAAAGAAGCAGCAGTGGTGGCAGGGGATGGTGGTTGCTGTGAGCCACCCCATTGGTTAGCGGGGGTAGGGGGGTTGTGCACACGGAGGCCGCCAACACCTTGCACCACTGCTGTTGCTTATCTGCAGAGCCAGGACCATGGGCTGTGCGGGGGGGAGAGGGGCTCGTGTGGGGGTCTATAAACTGGAACAGGTGCTAGACACATGGTGGAGTCTCCATCCCTCGCAGTTTCCAAGAGCAGGTTGGACAGATGTGGCTGGGATGGTGTAGTGAGGGCTGGTCCTGCCTTGAGCAGGGGGCTGGACTAGAAGACCATGTGAGGTTCCTTCCAGCCTGACTTTCCATAGTCCTATGATCCTAAGCACCTGGACAGTCTCACACAGTTCCTGGTAACCAGCACTTGGAGATGAATGGGAAAGAGCACCAGGAGCATGGAGGCCAGGGCTGCTGGCAGAGCTGCAACCTCTTCTACAAGTGAAATCTGAGGGGCCACAAAGTTACAGGCTGTGTGTGCGAGGCCACAAATGGCCTGGCTGACCTTACATATAAGAGGCTTATCAGTCAGACCACAAAAGATCAGGAAACCGGTTTGAAAACTCCTGCGCTCCCCTCAGATAATGAGGTTTGTGAGGCTTTGGGGATATCTTGCCTGGGCATGGAAGCTGGAAGGGGAAGCCCCTGTAGCTACCACGTCTGAGGGGAAAATTAAGCCTTGCAGACCCTTGTCTCTAGTGGGTTATGGAATAGAGAAAATCCCACACAATTTACTGATTCGTTTTGATGCACTGGCTGGGGGAGTAGTTAGCTGATTGCATGATTTCACAATGATTACACACTTAATTTATACAACACAATTTTATTTTAAAACTCTTTGCTACGTATATAACACTGCTTAGCTTTAAGAAACACCACAAACATTAAAAACACAATAATTACATATATCAGAAACACTTCCCTACACTGTGGGCACTCAGCCCAGGGATGCTCAGCATCGAATCTGTCTGCCCAACAGCCTGAACTGCACTCTCCCTTTCTCATAGCCTCTTCTCTTCAGGGCCAGCCTCATCTTCCTCTGCTAGGACTGGGCACAGAAACCCCCTGCTCACAGGCAAGCCGGGGCCACTCACAGTCCAAACCCCACATCTCTTCACTTGGGGACACAGGCCGAGCCGAGAATTGCCTGCAGATGCCCCCAGCCCCGCTGAAGGAGGGAAGGGTGGGGGGGCAGCTAGCACCTGGTGGTGCTCAGTTCTGATGAAGGGCTGAGAAGCAAAACCTGCCAAACTGGGCTTATGGGGTGGCAGTAGCACTTTCTTGCAGACCGTGACGGGCATGTGCAGGCCTGGGAGGTGGGTGATGCAGACGGGATGAAAAGCATGGTCAGGGAAGAAGGCAGGGAATACTTCCCTAGCAGTAAACATCATCCTTCCTGCAACTCTAGAGCCTCACATACAAGGACCCTGGGCCCAGCTGGAAAGTCGAAGCTGATAGTCGGCCAAAGACAGTTCCTGGGTGTCATTTGGAGCCAGCTGTCTTGGGGAGGACACCTATGGTGAGGACAATTTTTCTTCCCATGGGAGCACGGACTGCTTTCTGAGAATGATGGGAATGGCACAGGCCCCAAGGCTGATGCAAAGACCATCTCAGCCTCTGCCATAAACCAGACTGGCATCTGCCTGAGCTATTTCCTTTTAACCCTTCACCTGAATCAAACTTGGGAGGCCAGTCTCTCTGTCCTTTGGGTTTTGCAGTGCCCTAGAAAAGCTGAACAAAGGGTGAACTGTTGCTGCAGTCCCCTGGCATGAGACTGCTTCCCAGGATGCAGACGCTGGGGGGTGTTGAGCAGGTATACATCCCCAAACCCTTCCTGTATTGCTGGCAGAATTATGGACACTGCCAGACAGGGATGCATTGGTGCTGGGCCAGTTTGAAGGACTGGAGGAAGCAATTTCAGTACTTCGAGCACTGATGTGGCTTCTCCCCCATGTGGATAAGCTGGTGCTGGACCAGGGCAGAAGAGAAGGGGAAGCTTTTCCCACACTCTGAGCACTGATATGGTTTCTATCTTGTGTGGATACGCTGCTGCCGAGCCCGTCTAGAGGACTGAGTGAAGCTCTTCCCACACTCCAAGCACTGATGTGGCTTCTCCCCTGTGTGGATCAGCTGGTGCTGAGTCACGTTTGAGAACTGGGTGAAGCTCTTCCCACACTCTGAGCACTGGTGTAGCTTCTGCCCTGTGTGGATATGCTGGTGCAGAGCCAGACTGGAGGAGCGAGTGAAGCTCTTCCTACACTCTGAGCACTCATGTGGCTTCTCCCCATTGTGGATACGCTGGTGCTCAGCCCTAGTGGAGGATTGAGTGAAGCTCTTCCCACACTCTGAGCACCGATATGGCTTCTCCCGTGTGTGAATACGCTGGTGCTGAACTAGGCTGGAGGAGTTAGAAAATCCCTTCCCACACTCTGAGCACTGATACGGCTTCTCCCCTGTGTGGATATGCTGTGCTGAGCCAGCCTGGAAGAGTAAGTGAAGCTTTTCCCACACTCGGAGCACTGATGTGGCTTCTTGCTTCTGTGGATCTGCTGGTGCCGAGTCAGTCTGGAGGAGAGAATGAAGTTCTTCCCACACGTTGAGCACTGATATGGCTTCTCCCCTGTGTGGATATGCTTGTGTTGAGCCAGGCTGGAGGACTGAGTAAAACCCTTTCCGAACTCTGAGCATCGATGTGACTTCTCCCCTGTGTGGATAAGCTGGTGCCCAGCCAGGGTGGA